AAAAAAGGCGGACACCATACGCACATATATATATATATATATTTTTTTTTTTCTAATAAAGTGTGTCACACGTGTGTCGTAACGCGGGCGGCGTGTCGCTGAGTACCTAAAGAATAAAAAAAAAAGGATGTCCACGAAGGTGAATGCGTAACGTCTTCCCACGAAGAAAATGGCACAGATGTTATTGCCCCTCGGTGATGATGATGATGGCGGTGGTGGTGGGTGTATTCCTTGTCCGTTAGATCACTTGTAGTTTCGGTCTTATAATATATAACATGTGTGCGCGTGTGTTTTGTTGTCGTTGTCGTTGCTGCTTCGCGCACGCCCTCTCACTCTTCGGGGCGCTCCTCCTCCCACTGGTGCGACGGCGACGCCGTGGCATGATCGACCTCCTCCAGCGCGTGCAGTTCGTCGAGGAGGGTTTCCGCAATCCGCAGAATGCGCTGCAGCCTGGTCGCCGCGACGACCCCCCAGCCGCCCTCGCCCGCCTCCGTGCCGCGCAGCAAGGCGGACTGCCGCAGCCCCGCCTCCGCAAGGAACTTCGCCACACTCAGGTCGTGAATGGCGCTCTGCGCCTCGTGCAGCTGCCGCTGCAGCATGCCCCGGCGCACCCAGAACTGGGGGGATTCTGGTGACAACACAATAGCAAAGGAGAGTGCCTCCAAGGCCAGCGCGTCCGCGCCCCTGTGGTGCAGCTTTTTGTACAGTCGATACAAATTGCAAAAGACGCCCGTTAAGGCCACAAGGCGCTCTTGCATCAAGGCGGCCGGCACGTCGCTGGCAGGCATGCGGCGTTCATTTACGTGAAATGTCAAGAAAAAAACGGCGAGATTCAACTTTTGAATGGCCTTCACAACGCCACGTTCCTCCGAAGGGCGGTTGATGTGCCCAAAGGGCTTGCAATGGATCGTCATCGGCTGCACTGTGGCGCACGCAGGGAGGGCAGCGTCCTCCTCCCCGCTATTGCTACTACGATACTGGTGTCTATTGTTCCTCGGCTCCTGCTCCGCGCAGTCGTCTGTTTCTAACGGCCGCTGCAGCTCCGCCTGCCGTGTGCCGCCCATCCTGCGCAGGGCGCTTGCCTCCTGCTCCAGTTTTTTCACCACGCGAAGGCAGTTCGCAGGGTCAACAAAGAAGAAGGCGTCGGTGTCGTGCACGTTCGTAAAGCTTTCGAGGGTGACGAGGTAATGCACCTCGTGCGGAGAAAACGGCCTGAGGTCGGATTTGCCCTTGAGCCCATTTCCCTGCAGCGTCTGCAGGCTGCTGAAGGAGTTGGGTGAGGAAAGGGATGCGTCCAGCGGAATGCCCTGCTCCGCAGCCTGCCTTTGTAGTGGGCCGCTGCTGCGTCGCATCTCCCCCGCCACGCTCGCCTGCAACAGCACCGCCGTGCGCGCCTCATCCGCCAATGCGCACTGCAGGGCCGCATCGTCTTCGCAGTCATGCTGCATGCCCACAAGGTCCCTCTCCCCGCCACGCATCGTCTGGAGCGAGGCGTCTAGCCAAAGCGGGAGGGACATGCTCCCCAGCTCCACGCCAGTGACACGCCTTGGCGTGAGCTCACTCCCCGTGAGCGGGCTCTTTCGCGTGACACTACACGTCACGGTAGCACCATCACGAGGAAAGGCGAAGAAAACATTGCTTAAAAATTCCACTGCATCTTCGTGCGTCAGCACCTTCTCTCCCTCTTCCTCTGATTCCTCATTAGTATCGTAAGAGCCCCACCACCGGCACACATCTCCCTTGGCGGTGGCGCCCATGCCGCCACTACTCTGCTGTGTGGAAAACTCGGCCCCAACAAGGCCGGTCTGGGGAGGGGCCGCAAGATGACAGCCCAACAGCGCCGATGCATTGGCTACAAAAAGCGCACGAAGGGCGCACTGAGACGTCGCCGCGTCTATAAGAGCACTGTCGGACGAGCTAATAACGAACCGTAGATGGCGGAAAAAGCGAATCGGCACTGCATAGTTGTGCAGATGCTCTGGTGCCACCTGCACGCCCTCCGGCTCCTTTGGCAGGGAATCTGGGACGTCCAGAATGTGCCTTTGAATGACCTGCATCCACGTGGACGCACGAGGGAGAAGGTAGAGCAGCTTGATGCGGATGTACAGACACTGCACTGAGGGAACTGCAGGGTTATGGAAATAGTGTGAACCGTATGCGCTGAGCGTGTCGTCGGAGTATTTTGAGTCCTTGATGAGGAACGCAAACTCCTCACCAGGACGCATCGCACGTAACGCCACTTCAACGCCGCCAAGCAAAACAGAACCGCCGGGTGTCAGGCCTTGTTCATCGCCGCCCAGAGGCAGCGTCACCTGAGACGGTTGAGAGGGATTTTCCACAGCCCCGCAGTACTCCAGACGGAAAGGCGCTAAAAGACGGTTCTCACGCAAGCTCAGTGACATTTGTTTTGCCACCGCAAGCCACTGCTCGGATGCCGCCGGGGGCAACGCGGGAGGGAACTCCCGGACCAACTCCTCCTCCGTGCACCCCCCCGGCGTCTTTGTCGCGATTTTGGAGGCAGCCGGGGGCGCAGGAATACGAGCCAGCGAATACTCAAAAGACACCCACGACTCCAGGGAGTGCGGGGTCCGGTGGCCCCACCAAGTCGGCCTCGCTGCCGTGGCTGGCAACGGACTGGCCGTGGCCGCAGCAGAGGCGGCGGCGTCGGCCGCGGTGGGTGGGTACAGCACCTCCATCAGATGTGTGGCTGTGCCACCGATCATAAACACCGTGGGCCGCAGATAAATCCCACGGAGAGGGGCTTGCGGAGGTGCCGCATGTAAACTGTCGTCAGCGCCCCCCCAGATGCAGTTGGGTTTGCCGCCGAGGTTCTCCGCGTCTCCGAGAGAGGGTCCGGCGGTATGCCCGTCATGCGACCACTGCAGCGTGGGTTTGTCCCAGGGCGCCTGACGGTGGGCTCGCATGCCTCTGACGCGGTGAGGAAAAAAATCCCACTCCTCTTCCCGTGACTGGCGCGAAGAGGTGGGTCTGGAATGGCGCCTCCGCTTCGTCGTTCCAACTTCTCGGGTGGGCTTTGGATCGTACAGGCGCGGCAGAATATTAGTGAGAAAATAAATGCTGTGAGAACAACACCGGCGACTCCAATGCTTGCCCTCCCCCGCGTCCGCACTGTGTTGCGCTTCCTGGGCAGCAGGTAGACTTTGCATCACAGACACAGAAGGAGAAGAGGAAGAAACAAAAAAAAAACAAAAAAAAAACAAAATTTATTTACAGCAGCTGACCACAGTAGGCCAAGAAGGCCCCAGCATCCAAACAATAAAAAAACACGCACGCGCAGAAAGGGAGGGTGGGAAGTGGTGGTTACTTGCGAAGCCGCAGAAAGCGGCGGCCATGCGTCAAGTGGACAACAACAACAACAACAACGAGGGCAGTCAACAC